AAATCATTCTCTTGATTTTAATAACTAAGCAAGCCCACGAATATTTAGTAAAATGATTTGGGATTAAACCCATTTTGGAAAACTCCACATTTTAGGTCACAAAAATTAAAGTCAACATAGTCAATACCATCTCACATAATCACTACAATTCAACATAAGCAACATGATTCAACTCAACATCATTAAATATAATTCAACATAATTCAAGAGAAATTCTTAAATTCCTTTTCAACATTCCATAACCGAGTTTATGTCATCTATATCATTAATAAATCATTTCCTCCAATTTCCTTCTCATTATAACATGATTTACATTGCTCATAACAAAATTCATTCGCAAATTTTAAACATAATTTTCAAACATAACCAAATTGCAATTAAACTTGTACATAGATAATTCAACCTACCAATTTCGTGATTCAACTTTCAATTTGGGCCAAATCATTGATTATCATTAAAAATCAACCTAGGGTTTCAAGAAAAACCTAGAAATTTCAAGAAAAATTCAAACTTCTTAACCCATTATTTTTTTCTTCCAATTTTCCCCTTGATTATATATCCTACGTTCATAATCCATAATCTAAACCCAACAATAAAACCCCAAATTCTTCAAATCCAAAATCCCCAAATTTCCATAATATAACCCTATCTGCTCAAAATGTAGATTTTGCATTTATATACTCCAAAATACCAAAAATCTATCTATTTATGTAAGCATTGAAGGAGAACTAGGACCCCTACCTCAAGATTGAAAGCAAGGAAGCTAGGTCAAGAGCATAACTTTGAAATTCCAAAATCCAATCGGTTGAAAATGTTGATCTTCACTTGTTCTTCATCGTTGATGCAAAATCCATAGTTGATTTGTTGATAAAAGTAGAGGAAATCAAGGCTTTTAGGGCTAAGTTTTCGGACATGGAAGAGGGGAGAAGAAGAGAGGAAAAGAAAATGTAAGAAATGGTCCAAAAATCACGTTTTTCAGTTGCTGTCCTGCACAGCCCGCACGTGCGGCGCTATTCCCCGCACGTGCGGCTCTGTTTCCAGCACAGATGTGGAAACTTCAAACGGGTATAACTCTCTCATCAGGACTCCTTTCTAGGCCGTTCTTGTGTTGAAATTGAAGCCCCGGAAACAAGCTTTCCAATGGTTCCAACCTCACATTCAAATTCTAAGTATGGAAGGATAAAAGGGCAAAAGAGTGACGGCATGTCAAAATTTCGAACTCAAATTTGGGACTTTTTATCTAATCTTATCTATATATCTTGTTAAGGCTTCGATCAAGGTTCCAAACATCATCCAA